CCAAAGGGCCAAAAGCAGGGCTATAGGGTGGAAGGGATAAGGCTTCCCAATGAAATTCTCATAAAGCAGTCCTTGCTACCCTCAAAGAATAATCAGGTACACTCTGGTGATGGAAAATATTTCCTCAGTGAAATGTTGCTGGCCTTTATCTCACCAATGCACTTTTCAGTTCTCTTAAAACTTCCTAATAAGCCCTTGTGATGGTCCTATGTCCTTCTAGAAAATCTATCAAGTTTTTTTCTTTTGGCACTTCAAAAAACAGTTTCCATAACTTTCTGAGCTGACCTTTCTGCCTTAAATTTAACTGGTCCCGCAAACCCCGTGAACTCAAGGTTTTGATCAGACCTTTTGGAAAGCACCCTAATAAGACTAACAGAAGTGTAGTTACTCAGAACACTTATCTGCAGCCATTCAAACATCACAGCAACATATTTAAACATATTTTGTTAGGATTAAAACAGTGAGTGCACTTATGTACTTAAACCCTACTAGTAATAATTTTTATTTATGCTCATATACATTTCAAAGCTTAAAATACAAAAAGTAGACTGAAAGCTAAATTAGATACAAACATTTTTAAGATAGAACAGTTATAATAAAATTGATAAAACATAAAGCTTGTACAATTGAATTCAATTACATAAATGAGAAATTAATATTGAAATTATGTTTACTCTCTTGAGTGGTCACATTTTTTTTTTTTAATTGTAAAAGATAAATTATACTGCTCTAAATGTTTTAAGCCCCTGAAATATCTTATGCTCTTTTGTGCGTCAGTCACTTAGTAGGTCCTCAATTAATAAATCGTGTGTGAACTAATAAACTCCGATCAGACATATGGGGAAAGTCTCATGAACATACCTTGTTAATGGCTATATAAAATGGTTTAATATTGTTGGTTATATGTGTACAAGGGACTTGATTTTTTTTACATTTTAATTATGTAACAGTATTGCTTGGAACTTCTATTTTTAGCATTATGTATATAACTGAAATACTGAAATAACATATTTATAAAATATACTAATGATTAAATGTAGTACTGAGGAAAGTAGTGAGCATATATTATAAATTTATAATTGTTTGTTGTATCTTAGTTGGAAAGAATGAACAAATAGTTTCAATGACTAAAAAGGTAGGAATTATATGAAGAATTTCCCTAATGACAATGGTTTTATTGTATAATTAAACTACAGGGGATCTTTTTTTTTTACTGCTCTGCTCAATACCACTCATTGAATGAATTCAATATTATTTATCATTTTGCTCATATTTAACATGAAAGAGTTAGCAACAAAAGAACAAAAATGCATTTTTCCTGGTGAATTGCCCACCCAACAGTAACTTTCTGAAAGCTGCCTTCATGGCCTCATTCCTCAGACTGTAGATAATAGGGTTGAGTATTGGAGGAATGACTGCATAAAAGAAAGAAGTTAGAAGGTCAATAGCAGGTTGAGATTCTGAAGTTGGGTTTAGAAATGCAAACATACCTGTGGATATATATAATGAGACAACAAAGAGGTGGGGCAGGCTGGTAGAGAAGGCTTTGGATCTGCCCTCAGCAGAGGGGATTCTCAGAACTGTGGAGAAGATATGGATATAGGAGAAGATAATGGAGGTGAAGCAGATAAATGTCATCATAGATATGAAAGCTGCTACTCCAATCACTGCAAGGTAATCATTGGAGCAGGAGAGCTTTATGAGCTGGGGAATGTCGCAGAAGAACTGGTGAATTATTTTGGCCTTACAGAATGTGAGGGAGAATGTGGCTGTTGTGTACAAGAGTCCACAGACACTTCCACTTAACCACACAGCTATCACAGCCCACTGGCACTTACTAGGATCCATGATGACTTCGTAGTGCAGTGGGAAGCAGATGGCGGCATAGCGGTCATAAGACATCACTGTGAGAATGGCCACCTCAGACCAAGCCAGAGATGTGAAGAAGAAAACCTGAAGTATGCACTGACCATAGGAAATATAGCCATCGTCCATCAGAGAATTGTCAATGGACTGGGGGACCGTGACAGAAATGAAGGAGAGGTCCAGGAGGGAAAGCTGTTTTAAGAAGTAATACATTGGAGTTTGGAGATGCTGGTCCACAGTGGTGATGATGATAATGATGAGGTTACCTGCTAAGGTTAACAGATACACCACCAAGAACAGTAGAGCATGTAAAATCTGTAACTCACGAATGTCAGAAAATCCCATAAGGAGGAATCCACTCATTGTGGTTATATTTGCCATGATCATGTTGAAGAAATTGATTGTGGTGACAGCTAGAAGAAAAGATATTATGAAATCATGTAGTAGAAAATATTATTTTCATTAATTTATTCTCATTGTTTCTTAAATCAATCTTTCTTATGTACCTGCCATGTATCAGTTATGCCCTACAAGTTTGGTATCCAAACCTATAGCTCATAGTCTGCATTAGTAAGCTGAGTCAGTTGTGCTTAAGGCACTATTCTTTTTTTTTTTTTTTTTTTAATGTGGATTAATATTTAATAACAAAAGTGAAATACGATATATACACATATAGTTGTTGTTGTTAAGTGCAGTTGAGTCAATTCTGACCCATGGCGACCCTGTATAGGGTTTCTGAGGAGCATCTGGTGAGCTTGAACTGTCAACCTTGCAGTTCAAACGGCTTTACAGTCTGGTGCATTAACCCACAGCGCCACACCAGGATTCTATATATATATATATATAGTGATAGTTTACATGGGAGAACATTAGCTTTACATTCATCCTATCTATATCGTTTCATTGCCATGGTTACAATCCCCTATGTGCATCATCAACCAGCCAAAGGGTACACCCTGCAAGCCTGCCTCCAGGATGTCAGCACACAGCCCCCCTCTCTCTCTGGATCTAGCGTCCCCAGCTACTCCATTTCTCCATGTCATCCTCTCTGACTCCATCTCTGGCATCACTGCTTCTCTGGGTAGGGTCCCACTCTCTGCTCTTCTCCCTTGATGGTCTCAGGGACCTGCATTCCTGGACTGCAAAGTAAATCACTCTCCTCCTTTTGCTACAAGTCTACTAAAGACACCATTCTCATCACTGAAAAATAGTTACATTTGCCTCACCAAAAAACCACAAACTTCCATTTCCATTAATGGAACTCATTGTTTATTTTTAAATGAACTTAAAAACAAAACAAAACAAAACAAAAGCAGTGATCAGTTGTTGATTACAGATTTCTAAAATTGGATGAGTTTTACTTCTGCATAGTATATCATCCTATTTTAACAGATAGAATTAATAGCCCTTTAGAGAAAATAGAGTAGTGGAAATTGAAAAACGGATTAGTTGGTTGGACAGGGTAATCCCTAAAGTTCTTTCTTTCCAAATAATTTTATCTTGGGGAAAGCTGCTGTAACTGTGGAAACAAAGGCCACATTGTGTAGCATTACCACTCTTCCAATTAACATTTTATGTAAAGAAAATCTCATTGTAATGAAGAACAAAATCACTTTTGCAAGAAAGACTTACATGTGGCTCTCAGATTCAGTGTTTAAAATCCTGGAACACTTTTTTTGGCATCTATATTAACTTTATCTTTGAATTTTCTTTTCATTCACCTACTCTTGCCTGTATTTCCAAAATCAAAAGAGAATCTCCGAGGAATAAACTGATAAATATTTCTGAGAATGGAGAAATCAAATTTTGGTTCATTGCCCAGTACTTCGGGCTTTGTGGAAGGAAAATAATCAAGATATGTTCATTATGGTACTGAAACCAAACTCACCGCCTTTCAGTCAGTTTGTACCACAGTGATACTATAGGACAGAGTAGAACTGGCCCATACGGTTTTCAAGACTGAATTATTTATGAATGTTGACCACCACATCTTTCTTCTGATGAACAGCTGGTGGGATAAAAATTTTTGGTTAGCAACCAAATGCTTAAATGCTGCGTCACCACAGCCCCTTTACAAGTATGAGATTTGATGCAATACTTCACAATGAAGTCATCATAACCCTTGATTATTTACTTCCATCTCTGTGAGTTCTAGGCAATATTTGTAAAAACTCCTGCATCAGAGTCTTCTATGGCTTTATATTAAACCACTTGACATCTCATACAATTTGTTTTTATATCTTAATAATTCATCTTCTTACAAATTATAACTGGGAGATTTCTAAATATTGATGCTAGCGCTCTCTTACCACCCTTTGTCATTTAAAAAAATGATGTGTTTTTATTATGGGATTCATATGGGCTCTTAAGGACAGAGTAGAATTGTCCCATAGTTTCCAAGGCTGAATTTGATTTTATGGAAGCCAACTGCCCCACCTTTCTCCTGAATAGCAGCTGGGGGTTTAAATCTTTCAGTTAGCAGCTGAGTCCTTAAACACTGTGCCACCAGACTTCCTTTTCAGTTATGAGGGCTGATGAGTTACTTCACAATCAGTTTCTCATATTACTAGAATTTTTCTTCCATCTGTGAGTTCTAGGCAACAATTGTAAAACTATTGTGAAGTGTCTTTAGGAACTTATATTGGACCATGAGACAGCTCATCCATTTTTAAAAAATAACTTATTAATATCCTTAGAAATGATTACTGGGAGACTCCTAAATCTTGAGGCCAGCACTCCCTCCCCATTTCATTTTAAAAAAAACTATTGCGATTTGGATGAATGTTTACATAGCAACTATTTATACACATTTTGTTTTGTAACATTGATAGAAATCTCTTTATATAAGCAGCATTTCCCCCACATTCTCCCTGGGTTTACTGTTTCTGTAACCTTCTTTCCGATGTCTTCCTGCATTTTAACTTTATTCCAGGGCAAATGCTGCCCTTTTGATCTTGACTGGTTGATTGTTTTAAGGAAAGTACTTACCTCCCTGTTCATATTATAGGCTTATTTACCTTTTGGCTGAAAGTTAAGTCATGGGAAGGAGTTCAGTTCTACGTCTGAAAGCTTTCCAAGAAGCATAGCCTCTAGGAATCTGCAAGTGTCGTTTCAGACCATTAACCTGGTTTTTTTTTTTTGTTTTTTTAAATTTCATTCCCCAGTTTTCTTCCACTCTATCCAGGACTTACTCTTGTGATCCCTTGCAAAGTGGTAGCAAATATATTCATCAATATACTAGAATATACAGGAGGCAAAGTCATAAAAACATCTTGAAGAAATGAGTCACTTGCTGTGGTGGTACAGGAAAATTGTCATAGGGCACATCAAGGTCAACTAGCATAACGTGGTTCACAAAGTCAATGTTCTACTTTCCTTATCAATTGGAAAGCTCAGACGCTTCAGGCTTACTCTGCTATCCACACTTCTTCTCTTCACTAACAAATGTCCCTGGCATTTGGACAATCCATTTCTATACTTTACTGTTTGAAATTGGCCAGTGATTTTAGATTTGTAATCAAAATAGATATTACATTAATTACATTACATTAAGTAATTTACTTAATTACATTAAGTAAAATGTTTAGAAATTTTGTTCTTGCTTCCAAATTTAAAGTTTTTGTCTTACTCTCTAAAAATGAAGTGTAAGGTTAATCTATCTTGAATCTTACCAACTCTATCAAATTCCATGGAAAGCTCTCACTAGATAATAAAAAATGAGAGGAACTAGGAAACAAGCTGTATCAACTGTGTTACTTCGTCCATAATTTCTTCCTTTCCATGTCTTTCTTTTTCTTTGAATTTGTATGAAGATGAACACTAGTATTTTCCATAGTTAATCTTTACTTTGGTTTATTAAATATTTTAAAATGTCAACTTTACACAAGCAATGAATTCACTTCCAACAGGAAGGAGAGAAAGAACTAAACAATTTTAAGTGTTCATGTTTTATGAGACAGGCACCGTGTTAGATATCATTATTAAATAAATTTTAAGTGTTCATGTTTTATGAGACAGGCACCGTGTTAGATATCATTATTAAATAAATTTTAAGTGTTCATGTTTTATGAGACAGGCACTGTGTTAGATATCATTATTAAATAAATTTTAAGTGTTCATGTTTTATGAGACAGGCACTGTGTTAGATATCATTATTAAATAAATTTTATTCATTCCACACAGATAGTTTTAGTTTTTAGGAGTATAGTTCCATTTTTATAGAAAAAATAAGACTAGAAATAATTAATGTGATTGAGATCTGAAGTGTAAACACCTAGGCTTTCTAATTCACTCTGTTATGTTGCATTTAACTATTTCTAAATATTCAGAGGCATACTAGAGCATTGGGGAAAAAATTAGAATTAAACTGAAACCATATCCCAGATTTTGTCACTTGTTATCAGGAATTATTTCAATAAATGTTTCACAGTTGTCTCACCAAATACTTATTTGTTGTTGCTAAGTGCCATCAAGTTGGTGCCAACCAATAGCAACCCTGTATAGGGTTCCCGAGGAGCAGCAACTGAGCTTGAAACTCAGACCTCCTGATTTAAACTGAGTTCTCAGTCCAGTGCATTAACCTACAATAATGACATTTCTCAAAACAACAGAATTTCTATAATTGGCTCATTATTGTAATATATTTATATAAATTTAATCTTTGTGCTTTGTCAATAAGCTCATTTTCAGGGAAATAAGCTTCTTTTGGAATCAATAGTCTTGCTCTTGCTTTTTCAAACTCCATTAGGAACATAAGGTGCTGTCAACATTTCCATCCTCTATTTCCTGTATCCTTATGAAAGAGTGGAAAACTCACCACAGCTATTTTTGGTGTGGATAGCAGGAACAGCTGATCTCCAATTTCCCACCTCTCTTACCTGCACTCACACAGACTTTTTAAACCTGCTGATTCCCTTGAGAATCCAGGGCTATTGTTTTGTTTCTTCCTTTTTATCATCTTTCTTAATGGAAGCCAAAATTGATAGATAAAGATATTTCATTTCTCTACCTATCTGTGACAAAGAAAGCATGCAATTAAAATCAACACTCCAATTTCTATAAAATGATCATAGTGAGCAGTTTGGAATATTTAATTTTAATAATTTTAAACATTATACATAGAGTTAAATTCTCTTTTTACATTACACAGACTCCTTTATCCTTCTTCTCTGTTTCCCCAAAAGGCCCCCATTTAAAATTCACCAACAGGCCAGTCAATTTTCTTTTTCACATCTAAAACCTCTCTGTTGTTGTTATTGTCAATGACCATATATAAGGTTTTCAAGCAGTGGTTAACAGTTCAGTGCTTTTTCTATAGCACCTCCTTGTTGGTGTTGTTGCTATGTGTCATCTAGTTGGTTCTGACTCATAGTGACCTTGTATAGAGT